TCATGTCTTACGCTGTCGGGTGTCTCCCTTCACCCATTTTTCTGTTGTCTGTCCCCCAGGGAGGGGATTATATGTAGATCATTGTGATCAGTTTCCCCCTTTCTCCCCCACCTTCCCCTTCCCCTCCTGGTATCGCTACTCTCATTATTGGTCCTGAGGGGTTTATGTGTCCTGGATTCCCTGTGTTTCCAGCTCTTAACTGGTCTAGCCGGATTTGTAAGGTAGAACTGGGGTCATGATAGTCGGTGAGTGGGGGGTGTGTGGGGGAGGGGGAGAAGCGTTAAAGAGCTAGAGGAAAATTGTATGTTTCATGGGTGCTGTACTGCACCCTGACTGGCTCGTCTCTTCCTTGTGACCCTTCTTTAAGGGGATGTCCAGATGTCTACAGATGGGCTTTGTGTCTCCACGCCATCATTTCCAAACGTTATTCTTTCCTACTTGAGCCCTTGGTATCAGCTCCTCCTTTTCCCCTCCTCCACCCTCCTACCCTCAGCACATGATTCATTCATTTTGATAAAGCACACATAGCAGTAGTCTTTACTGTTTAATGCACCGAGATTTATTGCATTCAGTTCTTAAGTGGATAAATGCTGAAGGTAGTTGTTTATATGAGGTGTGTAGAAGGAAATAGATGATTTCAAAGTGAAAAAAGTCACTGGATCATTGGAATTTTTGTTTGCAAATCTAAGGATGGAAATGCTTTACAGTTATAGTGTAAAGAAAATACATGTGTTCTTCAACTCAGGTTATATGCTATCAAAGTTTTAAAAAATAATGTAGCTAATGATGCAAATTAAAAGAACTAGAGACAACAACTGGTAAAATAGAACCTATTAAAGATGTATTTTCAACTTGAAATCAGTTTTTATAGGATGGATGTGTTCACAATTTATGCATGGTAGTTGATGACCAGCTAATTTCATTCAAGGGACATTGCCCATTTTGGGTACATGTAGCTTCAAAACCTGGAAAACATGGAGTGAAAAAAATTTTTTTTAATGTTTATATTCTTATTTTAAATTTTATAAAGTTCTTTTACACAATCCTGTTTTGAAATTTTTTCATAAAATGATTTAGAACTCAAAAAGTCATCATTGGACCCAGATGGTAAATGCAGATGACTGTTTTTTCTTGGTATGCTGAGAATTAATGTTTTTAAGAAAATTGGAAAAGTGTAATAACTTTTCCACTACAATTCAGTGTTTTCTATTAATGCTTAAACATTTCACTGACTACTACCTCCCGTAATGCTTGAAATTATCTCCAATCTGTCTCAGATCTGGAAAATACTCCTATTTGTGGTTGAAAGAATCAACAATTGACTTTGAAGTTGACTTGATGCATTAAGTCCCGTTTCTTCCCTGAAACGTTACTCAGTCACAGTGAAGGGACTTATAACAAGGCGTGAACCTACAAACAGGAGAGGAGACAACAGTAACACATTTTCAGAGCTGGCAAATAGATGTTGGAGATAACCAACTCAGCCGATCCCAGAGGTGAATCCCCAATTGGCAGTGAGAAAAGCACCAGTTATGTCTGGAACCAAGAGGAGAGAGATGGGTGCGTTGAAAAGGGCCCTGAGCCATATCTGACGACCTCGGGCTTGTCTGTTGCCATGAGTCAGGGGTCAGACATGCCTCCACCCTCCATCCTTCTTTACCTAGTCTGCCGCCGATTGCTCCTCTATGGCACTGTGCCTCCGTGCTGGGTTCAATAATTTGTTGCAATGACCACACACAACTCCTAGACAGAACTCTCCATTGTGAGGATTTATTACGGTAGTTAACATGTCACCATAAGGGTACAGTCATTAATTAGTCAATAGCCAGTAGCCAAGTTTCTTTCTCTCATACTCAGCTTCTCAGCCACGTGGTCCCTTGGCTTCTGCCTCTGTGGGCCAGAAAACCCACCTGTCACCTGTCTCACAGTCACATGGTCTCGGCACTACTCTGCTCTGTCTCATGGTTTCTTTGCCTCCACCTCTGGTGTCAGCCTGGATCCTTTGCTCTGTTCCATGGTCTCTCTGCTGCTGTCTGGTTGTTCTGGTCTCAGCCTCCACCACTTCAATAACTCTGGAATGTGAACTCACTGCCATCAAGCCAATTCCAACTGATAGAGACTCTATAGGGCAGTCAGGACTACCCCTGTGGGTTTCTGGGAATGTAACTCTTTTGAATAGAAAACCTCATCTTTCTCCCTTGAAGTGGCTGGTGGTTTTGAACTGCAGACCTTGTGGTTAGTAGTCACTACACCATCAGGGTTCCTTATCAAATGTGCTTTATTTATTACTTTTCTTCCAATAGTCCTGGGAGTTTGTTGCTTCTGAGGAAGCTCTTACAGAGGAATGGCTTTGATGGGGATGTGATTCGGTCCTTCAGCAGACCACACTCCCAGGGAAACATAGGGTGTGACTTGGCTCATACCCTCTATCTGCCATCGCGTTGATGCCAACTCCTAGCGAGCCTGTAGGGCAGAGTAAGACTGCCCCTGTGCGTTTCTGAGACGATAACTCTTTGCAGAAGTAGAAAGTCCCAACTTTTTTCTTCATGCCCTCTACTAAGACTTAATTTCACCTTAACCCTGCCCATTAACATAGCAGAGAGCTCCCTCCAAAATGGGATTCTAGCCACTGACAGAGTGGCCAGACTTGATGATGGCTCACCTTGGGGGTGATGACTAGAAGGGCCACATTCCTGGACTACATCCCAGGTACAGAGGTGATGGGGGAGGGCCCTTACGGAGACAGATGGCGCGTGGCTGCAACAAGGGGCGCGAGCAGAGGAACAGGTGTGAGGGTGGTGCAGGGCCTGCCGCTGTTTCCTTTCATTGTGCAGCGTTGCTGTGGGTCAGCACTGACTTGATGGCATCTGATAACAGGCCCAAAGTGACGTTTGTGTTGAGAGCCACTTCAAAATCAATTAGCTCGTTTAACTTCTCTGAGTAACTGTGTATCCCGGCTCCCCACAAGCACATCGACACATCCACTAAACCAGCAGAAGTCTGCAGGCTTGTTTGGAGAGGGCTGACCACAGCGTCTGTGGCCCGGGACAGTCCACCCCAGTTGTGGGTGCTACATTGAAAGCATGGGGATGTTAAATGAGCTCTAATGAAGACCGAGTTGGGTATTCCCCCTAAAATGCCCCTGTAGATCACCTTTGGGAAGTCCTGTCATCAGGAATCTCTAGCTGTGCACTCGGAGATTTTGGCCAACTCCTCTCAGGCCCTGTGCTCTTTCATGCGCTAAGTAAGCACCACCAGGTTTCTGAGGAATACCTCAAAGTAGCAAAAAGGGAAAAAATAGAGGAAACAACAACAAACTATCATCAAAACCCTCAGAAACAAGGAAACCACATCCTTACGACAGAAAGAGGACGCTAAGATCAAAAGGAACATTCAGATGACATGAAAGCACTCTTTAAAATTAGCAGAAATCATTTTAGCCTTGTTTTTCATTCTTTTGGTGGAGTTATATTCACAACTCTAGTGTTTATACTGTTATCTCTTAATGGTCACTTTAGATATTATCTTGCCATAAAGTATCAACACATGCCATATTTCTTTATCTTCACGTCTCAGTACAGTTTTATCACTTGTAAAAAAGATCATTTATCTTTGCTCTATAAAAGATACAGAAAGTTCTTTTTGGAAAGAATTTCCAAAAAGGTCATGGAAAAATGCATTGAAAAGATAATAGAATTTTTTCCACAAACTTTTAAAAGTTCTTTTCGTATGTTTAAATCTGTTTTTCTTGTTCTGTCAACTATAAATAGGATCAGTTTCACTTCTTAGCTAGCCTCCTTTGTCTCCTTGCCTACTTTGGGTCCCGCATGTTTTAGTTTCTAGACTCAAAAAGATAAGTTCATTTAGCATGTACCTTTATGTAAACCCTGATGCTTTGCATTTGAGTACGTGCGTCTCCCAGTCAGGGTCCTCTCACTGCGTCGTGGGCAGAGCAGCGTCTCCCAGTCAGGGTCCTCTCACTGCGTTGTGGGCAGAGCAGGGTCTCCCAGTCAGGATCCTCTCACTGCATCGTGGGCAGAGCAGCGTCTCACAGTCAGGGTCCTCTCACTGCGTCGTGGGCAGGGCAGGGTCTCCCAGTCAGGGTCCTCTCTCACTGCGTCGTGGGCAGAGCAGCGTCTCCCAGTCAGGGTCCTCTCTCACTGCGTCGTGGGCAGAGCAGCGTCTCCCAGTCAGGGTCCTCTCACTGCGTCGTGGGCAGAGCAGCGTCTCCCAGTCAGGGT